TCTCAGTCTCTCTCTCTGTCACTCTCTCTGTCACTCTCAGTCTCTCTGTCTGTCACTCTCAGTCTCTCTCTCTGTCACTCTCAGTCTCTGTTATTCTCACTGTGTTAATCTCATGAGTAACTCCCTCTCTAGTCCATGTTGCTGTGATTGTTACTCCATTGTCTGTGCACTCTCAGTTTAGGCAGTGAATAAAAAAGGAGCTCAATTACTCACAACACTGAAGTCAGAAACATCACATTTTTTCTTGCTGTAACTGCAGCGAAGCAACATATCATTTAGGCTGTGACCAGCTCTGTCCTGGAACTCCTCCATGTCAAACGGTTGGTGCTCGGAATGTCTCTCACGCAGCAGTTTCTGTTGCCACTGCCTGTTCTCTGCGCTCAGGAAATGGAGCTCCTCATTCAGGCTTTCCTCTGTCACCTCCTGCCCTTGCTTGAAGAATCCCAGCATCTGACCCACCCAATGCAGGTCGTTCCTGGTAAGTCGGGACCTTCGGGCCATGTTCAAATTACAGATGGTCACAGATGGGAAATCCATCAGCTTCCCAGGAACCTCATCCAGGATGGTGACATGTTCCTTACGAAGGTAGAGCTGGATTTGAACACCACAGCAATAGAACAGGAACATCAACATCCCTGTGAAGGTGACGGTCCATGTGATTCGCCGAAAGGTGCTCGATGAGCGGTTACAGATGTGGTTGATCCCATGGATGGAGTATCGCTGGCTGTATTGATCCAGAGAGTGAGCTGACTCTGGGCTCTCCATCGGTCTGACTGTGGAGCCTCACCAATGAAGCCGTGTTTGGAGACTGATGCTGCACACCAGCCTCTACGCCAATGTACCAATGGTCGCCTCTGCAACTGGACCAATCAGAGAGCCCTGGGAACCCAAACTGACAAATGATTACCCCTGGACTGGACCACAGTAATGGCTCTGTCACACGGCCAGCTCCAATCCTCTCTCCAATTCTCACTCAGTGTATAATGTGGAAAACAGCCGGAACAAAGTTCTTCCTGAGCAGGGAGGGTGCTTCCCCAATCTTTCCTCTGCTGCCAATGTTGCCCCGTGCTGTCAGATCAGACTGGTTCCCTCACTCCTTGCCCCTGAGAGGGAGACGGGGCTGGTCCCAATAGTGACTTCCACCAGTGGGTCCACTCAGTGAGATCACCAATCTCTGTGTCCCAGCAGAGCCTGAGGTCTCTCGCTGTGCTTCAGACTAACACACATAACCCTCGGTGTGTGACAGAGCCAGAACGGGAGTGTGTGGAAGAGAGAGAGAGAGAGCGAGAGATATAAAGTTAACAATCCAAATCACTCTAGTAACAGAAATAGATAGTGGAGCTGCAGATAATTGAGAGACAGGAACCACTTATCCCGAGCCCAGCCTCATCATCCGACAATTGGGCGGCTCCGAGAGAAGCAGGTCCTTCAAATGCTTGGGAGGCCCTGCTCAGCACTGAGACCACAAACCAGGAAAATAATGGAGAAAGGAGTGAGGAAAAGGAAAGATAAGAGACACGTGGAAAGGCGAGAGAGAGAATGAGAGTGATATACGAGAAAGAAAGAGTAAGCAATATCCTAGGAGAGAGAGAAAGAGAGAAAGAAAGAAAGAAAGAAAGAGGGAAAGAAAGAAAGGAAATGAGAGAGAGAGGAGAGAAAGTGTGAGAAGGGGAGAAGGAGAGAGAGGGAAGGGTGAGTGAGAGAGGAGAGAGTGAGTGGGAGAGAGAATAAGGGAGAGGGAGAGAAAGAGAGAGAGAAAGAAGGGAATGAGACATGGAGAGGGAGAGACAGAGTCAGTGAGGGGAGAGAGGGAGAGAAGAACAAATAGAAGAGCAGAGTGATTTAATGGTCCCAAGTATTTTTAATTCACTCGTGTGACATGGGGCCCACAGGCTGGGCCCAGCATTTATTGCCCGTCCCTAGTTGCCCCTTGAGAAGGTGGGGGTGAGCTTCCTTCTTGAACCGCTGCAGTCCATGTGCTGTGGGTTTACCCACAATGCCCCTTAGGGAGGGAATTCCAGGATTTTGACCCAGTGACTTGTCAGCTTTGGATGAGTGTTGAATCCCAATGCTATTTACAATGGGCCAGTATCGTATAAAATATGAAGAAGGAGTTCTGAAGAAGGGTTATAAGACCATAGGAACTAGAACAAGAGAAGGACACTCAGCCCTTCAACCCTGCTCTGCCACTTAATGTGATCATAGCTGATCAGACCTTAACCTCAACTCTACATTCCTGCATTTCCCTGATAATCTTTCACCTCCCCTGGTCGTCAAGAAACTATCTCTCTCTGCCTTAAAAACATTGACAGATTCTGCATCCACTGCTTTTTGAGGAAGCGAATTCCAAAGACTCACAACAGTCTGAGAGAAAAAATGTTTCCTCATCCCTTATTTTTAAACTCTGACCCCTAGTTTCCCAGGAAACTTCCTTCCCACATCCACCCAGTTAACTCCCCTCAGGATGTTATCTGTTTCAATTCAGTCCCCTCTGTCTCTTCTAACCTCCCGAAGATACAGGCCCAGCCTGTCCAGCATTTCCTCAGAAGGTAATCCACTCATTCCAGGGATTAGCCTGGTAAACCTTCTCTGAACAGGTCCTAACACATGACCAGCCCTCTGTAAGTACAGAGCACTGCTGTACACAGTATTCCAGATGGGGTCTCATCAATGCTCTGTATACCTGAGGCATAATCTCCCTGTTCTTACATTCAGTTCCCCTCGCAATGAACCATAACACTCTATGGGCTTCCTGATTATTTGCTGTCCCTGCAGACCAACCTTCTGTGATTCATGCACTAGGACACCCAGATCTCTCTGCATCTCAGAGCTCTGCAGTCTCTCACCATTGAGATAATATGCTTCTTTTTCATTCTTTCTGGTAAAATGGACAATTTCACACTTTCCCACACTGCTTTCCATTTCCCAGACCGTAATGCACTCACTGAACCTATCGATATCGCTTTGGAATTTCGTCCCCTTGACAACTCACTTTCCAATCTGCCTTTGTGTCATCAGTAAATTTTGCTCCATACCTTCAATCCTTCATCCAAATCATTTCTATACATTGTAAAGAGTTGAGGCCCCAGCACTGACCCCTGGGGTACACCACTCATGACATCCTGCCAGCCTGAAAAAGACCCAGACATTCCTACTCTCTGCTCCCTGTTAAACAGACAATCTCCTCTCCATGCCAATATGTTATCCCCCAGTACTAGGAGCTTCTATTTTCCTCAATAACATTTGATATGCACCTTATCAAATGCCTTCTGGAAATCTAATACAATACACCCACTGGTTCCCCTTTAGCGGCTGCACACATCTCTTCCTGAAAGAACTCAAGTGAGATAGTTAAACACGGTATCCCTGTGACAGGATCATGTCTCTGCTTAATTACTTCGAACTTCTCCAAGTGCCCTGCTACAATGTCTTTAATACCAGCTTCGAACATTTTGTCTGTGACAGACGTTAAACTAACTAGGGGCCTGTCATTTCCTACTATCTGCCTCCCCCACTTTTCGAATACTGTTACATTCCCTATTTTCCGATCAAAAAGAACCTTCCCAGAACCTAATGGGTTCTGGAAAATGAAAACCAGCCCATCCCAGAGTCAAGGGATCGGAGAACCCATGGAGCAGAAGGAGGCCATTCAGCCCATCTTGCCCCCACTGGCTCTTCAAATGAGCATCACTACCTCATGCCAATCCCTACTCCATCAACTACCTCACTAGCTGCTTCTTTTAAGACTCTCGGGCAAAATTCGTTAGGACCCAGGGGCTTGTCAACTCGCTGTTCCAACCATTTACCCCGGTATCAGTGCTACTTCCTGGGAATTGTAATATTCCTGAAGCCCTCTCTCCCTTTCAATTCCTGATCAGTATCAGTTCAATACCAGATCGGTATTTGTTCAGTTTGCACTTTCATGTTAAATCAGTGATTTTGGAGATAACAATTCAATTGCGATTAGGATGTAAACACCAAAAGAACTGCGGATGCTGCAAATCAGAAACCAAAACAGAAATTGCTGGAAATGCTCAGCAGGTCTGGCAGCATTTCTCAAGAGAAATCAGAGTTAACGTTTCGGGTCCATTGACCGTGATCTGAGGAAGGGTCTTTGGACCTGAAACGTTAACTCTGATTTCTCTC